TAGGTCGTTGGAATACTCAAGCCATGGAGAAATGCTATCTCACGTCTCTTCCACGCGAAGCTATGCGCACGCTTGCCGGCTTTGAGCCTTCTCGAGGGAATTTTTTTGTTGCACGCGCGTCTGTGGAACCTCCTCGCGTTTTACAGAGTATGATCTTTCCTCAGGTTGAGAAGTGGCAACATGCAATTAACGATGGTAAAGCTGAACAGTCCATCGCCGCCGGAGGATTTCTAGAATTACTTCAATATCTTCGCAAGGTTATTCTACAGGATGCCGTCTTCTTACAAGATTTTCCTCCACATCATCCAGTGTGGCAGCACGATATTTTTTCCTCGGACGAATTCATGAAATTCAAAGGTGAAACTCGAAAAACTATATATACGATGGAAAACCCGGCTGATCAGAGGTTGCAAAAGGCGATGCCTATTTTGAAGGCCAGGCTGGAGGGTGCACATCAAGATCTTAAAACATCTATTGATCGCGTAAGTTCAACAGTCGACGCAATAGAAGGGAACATCGCCGACATATTGCGCACGCTCGAGCCGCTTCGAGGAGGAACCGCTATACTTCAGGTCAAGCTGGTTTCGAATCCAGCTAACAATGTCGCAGCATTTCCTAGTTGCAGCTCGACTGTCACATCTGAGGCTCGTAGTGATCAACCCTCAACGTCACATTATAAAATGCGTAGAGGTTTGGAGTCTGTCAAAGAGCTTTGGGAAGAATGGAGTGTTGGTTTTGACGGGGGTACACCCGTAAGAGAGCTGGAAGAACGCTACGGTACGAAGTGGTGCGACGCTGATGAAAGACGGTTTTTCAATCGCCGTAGATCTGTTCTCAACTTTGTTCAGCAATTATCTCGCGAAGCCCAGCGTGATACCGGCGTTGGGGCGGACGTAGCAACTCAGTTGGCTGTACACTACGTGGATGACACCCGTAAAACGCGAAGAAAGACGCTCAATTGGCTTTCCAAGAACATTGCTCTAATTCATGATGAAGTGAAGAGCCGCCTGATTGCACGGATCTCGCTGGATCAAGTTGCTACATCCCTTTGACTTTGTGGTATCGTAAAGTGGCCGTTACTGCGCAGTACCGCAGTGTGTCAGCGCGGTATTAGGTGGTACCGCAGCGTCACTTTGCGGTATTGGGCGGTACCGCAGTATGCCTCTGCGGTACCGCGGTGTGACTGTGTGGTACCGAAGTGCGACTTTGAAAAATTTTCAGCGACTTGTTATTTGTTTTACACAACAAGTAAGAAGCTGAATAATGTCACGTGTTTTTGTTGTGTTATTATATGCGCTTTGTTGTCGTTTAACTTGTTCACTTCGGCATGAGTGCCCTATAAAGTTGTGTTCGGTAAATGGATGCTTTGGTGGCGTTAAATTTCCCAGTAGTCAACCCTGCGATTGAATCCTCTATCGAGCTTAACTTCTCAGCTACTATCCACTTTGAAATCGCATCCATGTAGTGAAGAACGTAAAGCCCACACTCTGCACAGTTTGATTGTTGTGGTTTTGTGTCGTGGACAAACGTACTCCATTCAAAAGTAGTTGATGCATCTGATTTGGCTTCATGGACTTTTGCCAAGAACCAATTGAGGATATCAAATGCGTACGCTGAACTCTGAGCCTTCCTCATTGAGTTTACATGATAAACTTTCGTGGGTCCAGCGTGCATGAAATTCTCAATTACCAAAAAGCTCCAATGATTCCCGCCAGACACAGGTAGCAGCAGGTATTGGTATGACCAATTGAATAGTGCGACCAAATCACCAAATAATCGCTGCTGCGTAACTGCCTTACGTGTGCGTCTAGCTCTCTCCATTAACACGTATAGTCCTGACCCACAAGGACAAACCACCCCATTTTCCCGAGGCAAGTCGCGGTAAATGAAAAAATCCAACGCGGTTTGAGTCAATGAAGCATCTGCTTCTAAGCTGTTCAAATCTGACGGAAAAACGTGCACAGTCCGAGAATTTCCACTTTCCTCAAGATCTGTCCAAACTAGTATAGCGCTATCTTTTGGAAAGCGTTTCCTGAAAAACCGATGTGGAACACTTGTGTCAGCTTTCTCCACATTGGCATCTTCGAAAACGCTTTCATCAGAATTGCTAGACTCGTCACTCTCTCCACCACTTGAAAATTCTACATCGCTGTTACTGTCAACAGCAATCGCTTCACTCCTATTCAGATCTTCATCACTGCCAGGCTCATTCCCACAATCATTGCCACCACTAGATGCATCACCGCCAACTGCAGCGGTGGATACATCAGCACTAACGTCACGGGCATCTTCACTCAACAAATTTGGTACTGAAGGGAGGCTACTCTGAGGAGTTACTGGAAGGATCTTTAGCCGCTTGCGTCGGTGAGCAGGTGCAACTTCATCAGGGGATGATGCTCGAACCGGGGCCTCTAGAGCTACAGATGCACCACTCGCTGTCGTAGCCATCGCCAATTGATACTGTGCTGCAGGATTAACCAGGGTAATATTTGCTGGCCGGTCTCCAGTTTCTTGTAGAATCGCTTTCGGCCTCTCTTCTCCCATCCAATACAAGTTCTTCAAATGCTTTGTTGTCTTAGCCGTATAATGTTCTCTCCCTTCATAAATACTTGCAAATATTTGACTAGTTTCTGCTGCATCACATACGTACTTCTCAAGAGATGCGTTTGCGTTGATAACGCAAGTCTGCGACTGGAGCAACGCATCTTTCGCTTCATCGTCAGAATACATGACCATTTGTGTCGCTGCGCCCTTTACATGCATGGCCACTTCCGCTATAACGCTCAAAACCGACGCTCTTATTTGCGCGGGCACCATCACCGCGATTTGACCTCCCAAACACTCCACTAACGCGGCCGAACGAGAAATAACTAGGTGAATATCCTTTTGTTTCGTGGCGAACGCCAACGCCGTCGTTTCCGCGTCAAACGCCGCTCGCAACAGCTCTTTACGCTGCCTCTCAAAACCTCTGAGCTGTTCGCTGACCGACAGGTCGATCGGCATGTGTGCCCTGTCTTGCGCTCCATGGACGCTGTTTTGGAGGACCTGAGGGCGTTCGACGTCAGCGCATATCATTCTAGGGTAGCGGCTACGGTCTGTGCGACCATCGCGAAAGCCTGTAGGGTACTCTTCAAGAGGAAAGCCGCCGTCTGGGTTCTCCAAGTAGTACTTCTGCCTTGTTTCAGGGGGCTCTTTAAGCCAGGCATCTTTGAGAGACCTCCCTGCGCGACTACGAAGCCAGTTTTCAGCGGTCTTGTTAGCGCCAGGTTGCTCTTGAGCAGCTTGTTGTTGTGCAAACGTTGCTGCTTTCTTGGAGATGCGCTCTCCATTGTCACTTGCGTACACCCAAAAGGCTCGGTGGCAACGCATATCGGCTTGACTCCTGCGGGTGTGGTGTGTTGAGGCTTGATGGGCTCTGAAGAAAAGGATGAATACTATTGGTTAAAAGTCGAGTTGGACTGTTATTCCCCTCCGGTCCTCAAGTGCGCCAAAGCCTTCAAAGACGGGGTCCCGGCCCCAGCCAAAGACAGGGACGATAACCCCTCATTAATGCTTTGGCTTAGATATTTATTTTAAAAAACGATTGACCGTAATGGAGATAGCGTGTCGAAAAGTAAAAGGCTATTTTTTATGCTTTTAATATTCGCTCTTCCTGAGAGACAACTTACACAAAACATCATGGTTTCGAACGTAGTGGCGGGCCAAGGCGTGCTCCAATTTATTTTTAATAAGTGAATTTTTGCTTGAAGGTGAGGGCTTTCCCAATCAAAAACAATTCGTTTTTAAGATAAAATTCGAAAAGGAGAATTCAGGGTGCAGCACATCGATTCTTCGGCGTTAACGACTCCCTACTATGAGCCAAACAGCTCAAAACTTTGAACAGCAGCTAAGGAGTAGCTTCAGATTCAGTCAGGTTTTGAAAATGGCAAGCGAAATCTCACACGAAGAAAGCTTACATGTAACTCTCACAAGCATCAAAAATGGTAAGGTTGCCATTCACGTAATAATTCGATCCTCTCGCTGGTTCAGTTTGTTTATGTTTAGTATGTTTGTTGCTGCCAAAGTTGGCGACCACTACTAGTGGTGATTCCAATCTGCACAAAACTGAAATTATGTAGAATAAATATTTTTTACACTCTGAATTTACTTATTAATCGTTTCTCATGTTAAGGTTTATTCGTTGCTTTAAAGGCAAAATGAGTTCTGTGATTGGAGAGTCGAACATCGAAATGGTTCAATCTTTTGGTGACGAGAACGATGACGCCATGGCGTTATTCTCTTCTTTTCGGGCATGATGAACGTCTCGAAAATTCGTTTTGCAACTCACTTTGTTAGCTTATATTTGATGTTCGCAATCACGCCTTCACTTCTTCGAAACAATCTACTAAATGATAGGAGTTTTTTTGTAGCAAACTTGGCGCCAAGCGTATCTCTCCGCCGTATTGTCTCTCGTGTTGATTCTAGTAGCACCTCCATGTCAACTAGCTTTTATGGGCAGGGCGTGAGTCACGTGACAAACGCTCGTAGTTGTCGAAGCATCGTATAAAAACTTAATGAATCATTATTTTTACGGTAATGCAAACGGAACTCATGACGTGATGTACCAATTCCGTTTCAGAAGATATAAAACGTATGCCTGGCCAGGTAGCGCGTCCTGTGGCAGTTTTCCTCGATCTTTGATCGACTGTAAGGAACTTCGTGAGGCTTGCTTGCCTGCATCGTCTCCGGCGTCACTGCGAGCGAGTACGTTTCGCTGTGCTCTACGCGCTTCTCTACATCTGCTTGTAAAAAGTTTGACGCGTTTATTTGCAACGGCAGTGTTTGCCAGGAGGTCAGTGATCTTTCCGCTTCGACGCCCCTAGCGACTTCAGGGATCGCTTGTTCAACAAGCCGTTTTATCTTGCAAAGAGCTGTTGACATGTGGGCAAGTTGGCATGGTCGGTCACACAGGATCTCAGCCCCATGCGGTATTTATTATTATATCATAATAATGGCAGGTGAACTCCAACGGTAGCAAATCCGTTACCGTACTTGTTTCTGTTGGTGACACACTTCAATCAACACATAACCATAGCTTTGCTCAGGGCCGCCGCTGCTGCTGCTGGCTTGCAAGAGGTTGTCCTCGGCCAAATTCGAGAACATCACACAGGATCGAAGTTTATGGATCCACCGAGCTTGGGGATGCAAACAATGCAAAGAGACTCTAGGAAGATAAGATCTCTGTTTACAATAAAGATGTCGGGAGGGATGACGTGAATGTGTGTTAAACATCCGTGCCCCAAACTCAAGCCTGAATGCTCACGTCGCCCCGCCGTTTATTTTGAGATGCGCTGGTTGCTTGAAGTAAAATGGGTGCCATCTGAGCATGTCCGTGTCCGCACTTTCGCTCATCCAGCCTCCTCACTTTGGTTTTGGCAACGAACTACGCAAATCGATCGCCGCTGCGTGCTGCGACCAAGACGACATCTACCAGTCCAGGACCTACTACCACCTCACTATGGGGAAGCCCAATGCCAGTCCGGGTAACACCGGCCTCGAGTCCGTCATCGCGGGCGTTGTGTCCGGCTGCGTCACGCGCTCCTGCACGTCTCCTCTGGACGTGCTGAAGATCGTGATCCAAGTGAACGGCCCCGTGCCCACCCAGACGGCCGTTGCACCGACTACCAACGCTGCCGCATCTGCTACTACCGTATCCATGCCATCTTCGCTTGTGGCCGTGCGCTCTATCGCCGCACAGCCGTCGGCGTCCTCCGCCATTGCGCGCACCGTCCGCGAGTTGTACTCGCTGGGCGGCGTGCGCGCCTTCTGGCGGGGCAACAGCGCCGGCTGCTGCCGCCTCGGTCCCTACGCGGGCCTCAAGTTCTACCTATATGATTCACTGCAGGCACGTTTCGCCGCCAGAGAGGGCCGCGAGCTCAGCAACTGGCAGCGCGCGCTGTGCGGCGCCACCGCCGGCCTCATCGCCACCATGGGCACGTACCCTCTCGAGGTGGTGCGCACGCGCATGATCTCACAGACGACGGCTCCAGCCGCAGCCAACAGCGAGATCCGAGGTGTGCTCCAAGGCGTGAAGCTCATCTTGGAGCGCGAGGGGCTGCGTGGTCTGTACCGTGGTGGCTGGTCCGGCGTCATGGGCGCCATCCCGTTCGAAGGCGTGCAGTTCGGCTGCTACGAGTACTTGAAGTTGACGGCCATCCGTCACCAGTGGCCGGCCTACCGTTGGCCTGAAGGCAAGACCGAAATGGACGGGCTGGACTACTTCGTGTGCGGCAGCGTCGCCGGTGCAATCGCCCAAACTGTGGCGTATCCGTTCGACACCGTGAAGAAGCGCCTGCAGTCGCAGCAGGTGCACCTGAATGTATCTACAGTGGGCCCGTTGTCAGCCGAAGGAGGCAGTCCATCGACGCTGTACTACCGAGGCATGGTGGACTGCTTCCGCAAGGTCATCCGTGACGAAGGTCCTTTGGCGCTGTACCGCGGTACGGGCCCCAACCTGGCCCGCATCGTGCCGTACGCCGCCGTTATGTTCTCGACGTATGAAACAACCAAGAAGACTCTGCGCGTGCTACGCGGCCGTGAGTGAAGTGTGAAGTGTGAAGAAGAGAGAGACGAGAAGCCCCCCTCTTGATATTTATTAGTCCCAGTGAGTAAGTGACCGCCTCTGCGAGCCAGAGGCCCAGTGAGCTGCATCCCGTGCCACCTGCGTACGTTCTTGTAATTCTAGGGGAAGAGCGCTTGAAAGCAAACGCCTTATAGCAAAATAACTAAACAAGCAGCATTGTCATTGTCAGCGACCTTCTTCTTCCTTCTCATCCCTCGATCAATACAGACAGATGCAGCGTTCCACCGTTTCCGGATCCAGCGCCTTATTCTCGCCGCTGATGCTGTAAAGACACCGGAACAGTAAAGCACAGTGGTCGCGAATGGTCTGCAGCACCTCGGCCGTCATCGGCTTGAGTTTGTTTCCCTCCAGGATTAGCTGTAGACGTTCCGCCATCCAATCCGGGTGGCCTCCGTCGCAGTATCCACACAGGAGCTCGATAAAATACGGCACCGAGTCGTGGTGTCCTCGCTGCAGAATGGGGAGGAACTTGTCCGCATCCAACAGCAGCAGGTTCAGCTGCACGTATCCTCCAATTAGACTGTAGTAATAGCCTGTGTAGCCCAAGCCGCCGAAAGGATCGATGCCCCATGTTGTCGGATCTAACGAATGGCCGGTATCGTCCACTGGCGGCCGCTTATCTGTCGCCGCGAACTCCTTGAGCGCATCAGCGAGACAGCGAGCGAAGTGCGCCACCTGCTTCTTCTTGGCCTCCGTCTCCTCGTAGCGATAGCGGTTGTTCTCGAGTGTCATGGACGCGTAGACGTCCCCCAGCGATGACCACGGCAAGCGGTGCGCCTGGTGCGTCGCCATGGCGGTAAAATTACGGGATTTATAAAGCCTGGCTCTTGACAACTAAAAAATACTAGTAAGAATCTCCTGTCAGCTAATCTGCTGGTACAAACGATGGATATGATAACATGTAGCAATACTAAGTTCAAAGCACAATGGCAACTGGGCAATACTGCTGCCAAAAGCGCAACACATACCCACCTACACCAACGTTTAATCTCGTCCTTTAGTAGATTCAGGAGATTCCATTAGAAAATAGCTCGTGTAAGCCTGGAAACGAAAGAGAATGGATGTCCAACATCATCGAAACAACCGTAGTGGGTTGTAGCCTCTTGTGAACTCCTGAAAGGGTTAACCCTTTAAGCGCGTTCGTCAGACTGCAAACGAAACGCGCTACCTTCTTGCGTTGCAATGTGATCGTTCTGGGGCGCCACGGAGAGTTCACTCTGGGGCAGCACGGAAAGTGATGCTCGCTATGCCGGACGAATGGAAATTCAATTGTGCAAGAAAGGACGCTGCTCACGGTGTACGATAATCTACTTCCTCGCAAAGCTCAATTCATGCCTGTAGAACAAGCCTCCATCGCTGGGCATATCTTCATTGAGATCATTTTGCTAGCGCCAACTTAGTCAAGTCGAGCAGTTACTGGTTCACTACGGTCAAGGGAGAGATCCGAGAATGCCTCCAGCATCAACAGCGACACGTAGCTGACCCATTTTGTCGACTCGACACTGCTGGACACTCAACGTGTAGAACCCACAGCCAGCTCCTTGAAGGCAGCTCAAGCACCCATGCTGTTCACGGTTGAACACATCAAATCTGCGCGGCACAAGATCTCGATGCAGAACCGGTTCACCGTTGAGGCGCCGCCTTCAACGTCAATGCCTTCAACATGGCCATCAATCCGCAGCACCAACATGTCACCTTGCCTCCATCAAGTCTCTGCTTGGAGTTCCTTGCTCCTTGAATGAGTGGTCTTGCTGCTCCTTCCATATTCCGCTGGCGGCCTCTCGGCGGCCAATGGCACGTCGCATGGGAGACGTGCGTGCGTGTGTAAGGGTCGATCAGTACGAAATCTGCCGGCCAAGACTCACATCAATTAAGGAGTATGGGGAACGCCGCCGCCAAAGAAGCCGCCGCCCATCCGCCGCCAGCGCCGGCCAAAGAGTCGCCGACGCAGCAGCAGAAGGAGCCGTCGTTCCGCGTGCTTTCGGCCGATCAGCGCGCCATCACCTTCGACGAGCGTGTGCACCTGCGCGCCGGCGCCGAGGCGCGCGCTGACCGCGTGACGCTCGGCGCCATGTCGGACTTCCGGCCGCTGCAGCGCGCCGCCACGTACGATCCTCGTCTGCGCGCGCAGAAGCAGCTACTGACGGCGTCCGACGTGATGCACCGACGCTTCTTCAACGCACGCGAGCGGCGCGTGAGTACGAGTGCCGACCGCAACCTGTTCCGCATCGCCGAGGGCGACAAGGAACGGCAGGAGGCCATTGTGGTCGTAGACCCGTACTCGACGGGTATGACTATGGCCGAGAAGGTCCTGGAGCGTGGATATCTGTGCGTCTGCGTGTACTCGGACACGCTCGAGGTGACGCAGGAGCGTATCTCGCACGTCCCCAAGGAATTGGCCTCCAAGTTCTTGGCCATCATCTACCACGACGGAGAAGTGGAGCGCAAGGACGAGAAGAAGGCGCTACAGGACACGGCGGCCGCACTGCGTCGCGTCAAGAGCGTGGACATCGTCGGGATCTTCGCCGGCGCCGAGACGGGCGTGCTGCTGGCCGACAAGCTGTCGGAGCACTTCAAGCTCACTACGAACGGCACGAGCGGCTCGAACGCGCGTCGCAACAAGTACGTCATGGGCGAGAAGGTGCGCGCCTCTGGTCTGCGTGCTGTGGCTCAGGTTCAAGCCACCAAGTGGTCGCAGGTCGAGAGTTTCGTCAAGAAGGAGCTGATCCCCATGCTCAAAGGTGGAGACTTCAAGGTGATCGTCAAGCCTGTGGAAAGCGCCGGTAGTGACGACGTGATGCTGTGCCACTCGATGGAGGAAGTACGTACGGCCTTTGGTAATATCCAGGGCAAGATCAACGGACTGGGACTGGAGAACCAGGCCACGTTGGTGCAGGAATATCTGGATGGTACCGAATACGTCGTGGATACAGTCAGTCGCAATGGTGTGACCAAAGTGGTGGCTGTGTGGGAGTACGACAAGCGCGCAGTGAATGACGCGCCGTTCGTGTACTATGGCGTTCTACTGCGTGCAGCTCCGGACGGCTCCGTGCTGGCCAAAGTTTGTGAGTACGTGCTGAAGGTGGTGAAGGCTCTGGAGATCGTACATGGTCCTGCACATGCAGAAGTGAAGGTCGTGAGGGGAGAACCGTGTCTAGTGGAGATCGGAGCTCGCTGTCATGGTGGATCTGGCTCGTATCTACCCATAGTGACGCCCTGTCTGGGCTACAACCACGTGGACGCTGCATTGGACTCGTATCTGGATGCTGAAGCGTTTGAACGTCTACCAGAACGTCCGAAGGAGCTCAAGTCACACGGCTGTGAAGCTATGTTGGTGTCGTACGAGAGCGGGAAGCTCGCGGGTTATCCAGGCCAACAGGAGATTGAAAAGCTGTCGTCCACTGTATCTACAGTGTGGTATACGCATGTCGGAGAAGAGTTGAAGACCACCGTCGACATGTTCTCGACTCCAGGCAGTGTTATCCTGGTCCACGAAGATGAAGAGCAACTGAATCGCGACTATGCACGCATTCGTGAACTGGAATACAAGGAACTTTACGAACTTGAGCCTGAAAAAGAAGCTGAGACGAAGACGAAGACATCTTGCGGCACTGTAGTGGTGGTGGACCCTTTCTCGACTGGAGCTGTGCTGGCTCACGAGCTTATGGTCAGAGGCTACGACTGCATCTGCGTGTACAGTGACCGTCTCGAGAATATCGAGAGTGTGGCGAGTCTGGTGCCCGAAGGTCTTACGCTGGAGTTCGCGGCTACTGCTGCGTTTGAAGGGAATCTGGACCAGACTGTGAGTGCCATTCGCAGAGCTGCAAAGCAGGTGGCAGACAAGCACAACAAGAAGAAACAGGGAGCGAAGGCCAGTGCAGCAGTGTGTGCCGTGTTTGCTGGCGCAGAACTTGGAGTCAAACTCGCTGATGCTCTCATCGATGTGCTAGGACTGGAAGGAAACGTCTTGGAGCACTCAAACGCTCGACGTGACAAGTATCTGATGGGCGAAACGCTGCGCTTGGCTGGTGTGCGTGCTGTGAAGCAGGTGAAGGCAAAGACGTGGGCTGAAGCTGAGGCTTTTATCACGCAGGATCTCAAACCAGAACCTTTCGAGGTGGTGCTCAAGCCGCTGGAGAGTGCAGGCACTGAGGACGTCGTTCTGTGTCTATCGATAGAGGAGGCCAAACGCACGTTCGACGGCATCCTCGGCAAGATAAACGGTCTTGGAATTCAGAATGACGCCGTGTTGCTACAGGAATATCTGGAAGGTGACGAGTATGTGGTGGATACTGTCAGTCGCAACGGAGAGCACAAAGTGGCGGCGATCTGGAAGTACGACAAGCGCCGTGTGAACAATGCTGCTTTTGTGTACTTCGGACTGTCCATGGTGCCTGCTGAGGGTATCATCAACGAGATGATCGACTACCAGTTCCGAGTTCTCGACGCTCTGGGAATTCGCAATGGACCGGCACATGGAGAGGTGAAGTTCTGCCACGGATCGCCCGTACTGATCGAGGTTGGCTCGCGTTGTCATGGCGGGGAAGGAGCGTGGGTTCCGATTGCCAACATTTGCGTGGGCTACAACCAAGTGACTGCAGCTGTCGACAGTATTTTGGACGGTGAGGCCTTTGCCAAGCTCACCGACCGACCAAGGAAGCTACTGGCGTACGGCTGTGAGGCTATGCTGGTGTCGTACAAGAACGGCGTCTTGAAGAGCACACCAGGCATCGCGGAAATCGAAAAGATGCCAGCCTTCCTCAAGAAGGAGATTTTCGTGGCGCCAGGGGACAATATGCGTCAGACGGTGGATATGTTCACGACACCGGGCAGCATCATGCTCACGCACAAGGACCGCAACGTGCTAGAGGGAAGCCTTGCACGTATTCGTGAGCTGGAGGTTGAAGGATTGTTCGAGGTGGAGTAGAATGGTAGATGAACGAGAGCAACGTCATGCAAGATGCACATGCAGACACGTGGTAGTGGTGGTGTGCGTCTCTTTTTAATGGATTTCTTTGATATTATCTAATCCATTCGTAAGTTGGTGCTTGGGATAGTTGGGGGTACCCGTGCAGGTATACTGAAGCTGAATCAGCTTAGCTGATTGAGATCTTTAATTGGAGTTTTTTATTCGCGATCCCGAAAAATCATTTAACCAATCATCAACCTCGGATCATCAATCATATGACGTGTGTTACCACACCAAATTGAGGTTTTACAGCATTGAGAATTACTATAACTAGTTTTGTGCTTTTCTGGCGTTTTGCCGACGTGTTCCCGGTACTTGAGAAACGAAGGCATCTCATCCATAAAATATACCCAAACCCTTACGTATCTTTCCAATCGATGATCAGCTGGTCGTGCGCTGCTTCGACTCCATTCAGTTTCGATTCAATCAGTGAGGCGAGGACGGAGGCGACGACGATGGCATAGACGACTCCACGAGGAAGGACAGCGGTGAGTGAGGACGGCGGCAACGACGCGGCGACGACGGCATAGAGGACGCCACGAGAGAGGTTAGTAGTGAGTGAGGACGGCAGCGAGGACTCGCTAAGGACGGCGGCGAGGACTGATTGGCAACGACGGCGGTGAGGACGGCAACTGCTGTCTTATCCGCAGCTGTCTCTCTGGCTGCCACCTCCCTCAAATACCTGTGTAGTTAAACGGAAGAGCCCCGTTAACGGATGGTAGAGGTTCAATTCCTCTCACAGGCAAATTCCTTGGTGGCCGCTAGATACAGGGATATACAGTGCGGTAATGGCGGATGACAATGCCTGTTGTAAGAAGCCGGTGATCAAGTAGTACCTGTGGCATAGGTGGACGCAGCTGCATTGCGTTCTGAAATCAACGAAGAGTGCAGCTAGCGAAAGATAAGTTCATATTTGAATTTCGATGGAGATAACAATACCCTTGCCGAATACTCTAACTTGTCGTTTGTTCATTAATAATGGCAACCCTTTCGTATATTGTCGTAACAAAGTGCCTCCTTCTCCAACATTTGTCTTTAATATAGCAGAAGGCTATCGGGTTCTTCGCGCAAAAGTCGAAGAGCATTTCGACAACAAGATCCCTGACCAGTGGTGCGCTGATTATGACATTTACTTCAAGCCGACCAACAACGCGTATCAGAAGGACTTTCAGGTGCTTTGCAGTGACAGTAGTGCTTTGCAAGTTCAGCTTGATACGGCGTGGCACAAGGCAAGACTGCGTAACGGTGGGCAAGCGGGCTTCGTCTTAGAGCTGTATGTATACGTGCCAAAGCCAGTTGAGGCTACAATAACGCTTCGTAGGGCGACAGCTGCGCGTATTCGAGAACAAATGCCCCGCGTAGCTGAAATGTTGCGGGAGTAAGGGATAATTGCAGGTCCAGCTACCCATAACTACATGGTGGTCACGCAGGCAAGGCTTCCAGACGGAGCCCCACTGGTAGTGCCTAACAACACGACGTTTCAGCAGCTCCAGCACGTGGACACACAACAGGCAGCAATTGACTCTGCAATGCAAGAAGGCCAACAGCTAGCGACTGCAGAGGACCATCTTGTGTGCGTCAAGATACAAGGCATCCCAGTCGCAATGGAAGTGAACGTCAGCGATATCCGATCTGCACTAGGACTCCCTGACTACAGTTTGCGCCCACAATTTAGAGAGCCCCCATATTCGCGTAACGTTGAATTCAACTTCAATTGGATTAAGGTCGGGTGAGTAGGGAGGCAGGAAAAAGAGTAAAGCACCGGTCTCGTGGATCATTTCCTGAAGTTTCTTGTACATATGAATTTTTGCATTGTTCATCACTACAACGAACCGTGGTAGTGGCCGCCGATTGAGGAAGGGAAGTATCTTGGCTTTGAAAACTTCGTGAAAGCTTGAACGCGTAAAAGTTTTTTCCACATCACCCCACGAAAAAAAAACTTGCACGTCCATTGCCGCCAGAATCGGTACGCGTTTGCCGCGGCTGAATGGAGGCGTTACATGTGCCGGTGTATTTCTAGCAGACCAACCATAACGACGTAGAGCAGATCTAAAGCAGATAAAAATAACTTTAAAATAACTCTAAAGAATAAAACAACTTAACAGTTGCAGCTTGCAAACTTACCTTCCGTCCTTTGATGTTTCGTCGACGAAGACGAGTTGATCAGGGCCGCTGTAGAAAGGAGTAAGACGACTAACATATTCTCGCCTTTCGCGTGGAACACTCTCTCTCGCGCGCTTAGTTAGAGCTTTTCTTGTCAACTTGTGGTCGAAGGGCTCTACAGATTATTGCGTCGGATACACCAATTGAGTCCCGGTAGTGCTTGCGTAATTCGTAGCGTAGCTCTTGAAAGTAGAAGCACGGATGCGCCTTCACGTATGTTTGTACGAACGCACACACATCACGAGGCCACCTAGACGATTTCGCCTTGGTGTTTGCTTTAAGAACATTGCCTGTCGTTCGGAAAAGTGTATACCATCGAACGAGGCTACGATCCGAGAGACCTAGAACACTTGCAACCGTAGTGGTATCAATCGAGTGAACGTACATAAGAACTATACCTCTCCAGCGAATATCTAGTGAGTAGGTCATCTTAAACTCCGACGTCGTGGACCGGGGCAGCAGTCTCCATTCTTTTAGAGACCGCTGTAGCAACGCGAGATTCCTCAGCTTCAAAAGTTGATTTTTTTTCAGGTGGTGTACCCAGCTTGGCTAGTGTTAGCGGTTGCGTGAGGAAAATGGAGTCTCTGTGTTTTACACGTGATAATGCTACGTACGCGAAAGACACAGTAGGAATAGAGCTGCTATGAAATACGACGTTATCGCACGTCAAGCCTTGCACCTTATGAATTATCATTGCATACGCAAGTCGTAACGGAGCTCCTCTACGAACAACTCGCAGGTCACTATTTTTCTTACCCCAACTAATTTCTCTGGGCAATATCGGTACAATATTAGGGACATCCTGCAAGAACGACGAACCAAGGTACAAGTGTGTCACCTTAACAAGAATAATTGGGAGATCACTGCCAGAAAAATATTAGATCATAAATAATTCCGTTCGTCCCATTACAAAGTCCAGCTGGTTGCTCGAGATTAACAGTTAATGTGACCGGAGCTTCAACACACAACATGAGCTTTGTTGCAACTACTCTATCTCTATCATTGGTTGGTGTTTTAGCTTCACCAATAAGAGCGGAAACAGTTCCTTCTGGAATATCACGCTTCTGACGAAGACGCTTTTGCTGGACGTAGTGCAATGTATTTATATAAATTATGGGAGTGTCGTTGGCGAGAAGGCTCTCATTGTTAGCTGCATCGACATCTACGTTTTTGTGTGCAATATGCTTAGCTCTCGTATACCAGTCTGGTACTGGTGTGTTACTGCTGCAGCGCGAGTTGAATAATTCAACATCTGCGGAGGTTGGTTGACGACTTCGTAAGCGCCTTAGCGCATTAAACCACTCGGAATCGCTCTTAGCATGCAAACGTAAGGTATTTCTTCCCACAACTCACGTCCTTTGCGTTGCACTTCATTTTGAATTTTCTCCAGCGGTGTCGATAATGAGTAGGGGACGACGAGGTCAAGTTGACCCGCATTACCATAAAGTATAATATCACGCCCACCAAAAGAAAATGACGCTGCTGAGGCCAAATCTCTCTCATTCTCTGATCAATCCAATGCAACATTCCACATGCCTTCTTCGTTGTCGATAGGATAGCGGTAAAATATTTGTTTACTCGGATTGGATTTTACTACATTATCGCGAAAGGCTTTACCGTTCCTTTAATGAAGGTTTTAGCTCGTTGTACGTCTTCTGCAGAGTAATTATGTTTTACAAGTCACGTAGTTATTTTATTAGCATCGTCTGAGTGCCCTTTAAAGTTTGATACAACTTCTTGTATGGAAACACCACTGTCTTCGATAAATACGTATTCAAACGGAGGAAGTTTTTCACAGCATGGAGTGGCTCGTGCATTTCTAAGTAAATCTAAAGAGTGTTGACGAGCAATCTTAGCATTACATTTTTCCAGTAGTTCTCTACTCAGATTTTGTTCTTGCTCCTGTAGAAACCACTCAATACATTCGTCATCGTCTTGAGGAAAGTCGTCAAGAGAGCGCCCGGGTACGTAAAGGAATAATTCTGCATAGCAAAAGTTTGGGTTCTTCACATCTGGAGCTATCCAAGGAGATGCACGTATGGCTCGAGGTGTGGCACGTCTTTTAATATAGCCACAACCATCTTCTCTTTTTCTAAACTCCTGGTTTGGGCTAAGTAAGTTTACTTTGTCTGTAAGGTCGAACCCTTCTACGAAAGAGCCATAACTCATTGCGTTGAAGGTATCATTGGCTGGTCGAGCCATGTAGGCACACTCGAAATGTTCTAGTCTACACGTAGCTCTACGGGCTTTGTCAGCAAATTATGCAAGGTCTTGCTGTTCTCGGGTGTCTACACGATAGCTACGCATCGGATGGCGTAACACTTTCACTCGTTCGACTGTCCGCGACTTTCCATGCAATGACAACTCTCGTAGTAGAATGAAATATGCTTCCTGTGCACTAATTTCTCTGACCGACAAAGCTACATTTGCTACCCTTTTAAAAATGGCATGATGAGGCAAGTTAACGTCGCAGCGCTTCACTGCCGCCGCAAGTACTTTTTTGAAGCGAACTGTGTCAGGCTCGGCTTTACTCACGTAGGCGGCAGTATATTCTGCATCACCGTAGGCATTCCCAATAAGTTGAACGTCCATATTAGCCCTCCAGGCTGAAAGCAACGCCGGCCTATAGTTAATAATGCTAGCTACCTCTCGTTTCAACTTGACTTTGAAAGAAGGTGTTCCATCATTTGCAATTGAAGCGTCAATTAATGTTTGAGATTGTAGCTCTTTAGGGTAGCCAAATCGGCACTCACTACTTTTTTTTTTTTTACAACTAGAACCCGAATAGCAAACGTGTTGTTGAACGCGATGTATTATTCTAGCCAAAGCACACTCCCAGTCATCATCTTCGTATTCGGGAGGACGTGCCGTCAAAATATCTAATCTTTCTGCTTTGAAAGCTATACAACTCGAGCAATTGCATGCGTCTAGATCTGTAACAGTTTTGGAGAGAACTGACATACAACGATCAACGAATTCGGCTAGCTCTCTTTTACCTTCTTCAGTTTTAGATAACTCAAGCACATCTGGTGCGTTTTTTTTTTACCCAAAGCAAGGCATGGATGTGGGGTGATCCTCGCTGTTGAAATTCAATCCGTCAAAAAAAAATCCTCGATCTCACCCAAAGGCTTCTCGCGCCCACACAGCACAATTTTAAAAAAGCATTGAAATCGATGATGAAAGTAACGTGCAGCAATATCTGGATTTTCATTAAGTAGCCTTCTTCTTTCCTTTGGTGGCAAATGTCTGCATTCTTTGAGAGTGAATTGCAGGTTGAAGGCCCTAATAAAAGTCCGGCCAAATCGTATCCGCAGCACTCAAAGTTAAAAAAATGTCGGCCAGCGAGTTGGAAGGACACGACTTCCTATCATACTCATGAGATCGTCTCGAACACTACTCCAGTACAACCCTCTACTTCTTACCACCTTAAAGTACGGCTTTAACGACTCTAATATTTGTAGTGCAGCATCTTTATCGCCAATAGAAGAGTATAGTTGCAACGCTTCATCATGCTGTGATCCCGAGTCACTAACCCTACGAACTAGTCCGTCTATCTGTCGTCTTTGAATTAGATTGAGGCAGAAAAATTATAATTGCTATGAATAATGAAGCGACGATCGTGCCATTTCATGAGGTGAGCACAATATTCGGCTAGATGGTACTCGTGTAGGCGACTCTCACTGCTTTCAAGTGGGTTCAACCCTCCTCCGCCATTCGTAAACAGCGTCGGAAAGCAGTTCTGCATTAATGTTTTTGTGTTATACTCATCTATTGGTTTTGTACAACATTGTAGTGCTTTCACAGGATATTCTAACCCTCCACAAGCTAAATTAGCAGCTTGAATTATCTTTTCTAACTCGCTCTGCGTGTCTTGCTCGTTCCGCTCTAGCTCAAACGTTTCAATTAAGTTTTCCATCACACAGTCTTGGTTATCGATGCCTTCTTCATCTGAAGTAGAGTTTTCTGTCGTCGTGTCCTCAATACGGAGGTGTGTAGTGTACAAGGGGTTTGTTTTTTTCGCAAGCAGGAAACGAAGATTCGCAACATTGACCGCAGTTATAACCAGCAGTGGATGGGGTTGGCGCGGGTTGAGTTTCTTGCTGCTCTTGTGTAGTTGCTGGCAAGGTGCTGGCTTGGTGTGGGGGACTCACTGCCTTTTCAGGCTCACAGTTTAGCTGGTTTTCTTGAATACGAAGCTTTTGAGCTTCTTCATCAGTTAGCGATACGCTTGGGATATTGTTTGCAGCGCCGAACGCTCGTAATGACGCTAGATTTTCCTCCGATACTCTTACATTTTTGTAAAGGGGGTTGTTCTCAATGAGCCAGCACAGCGCTTCTCGGACTAAATCTGGTCGAATTCTATACAATTTTACAGCTTCCGTCGTTTTGGTCTTCAGGATAATAACACCGCACTTGTGAAGAGGACGTGGAAGATCGAGCACAACTTCCACAGCACGATTCCAATAGTTGATAGGATTTCCACGAGTAAACTCTTGGCCATCACAATACAGGTTGACGCAGGTAGTGGGAAATACCTAAGCCGATTAGACGAGCTTCCATTAAGTTAAGCACAGCAAGTTGGCAAGGAACAGCAGCTTTCCGGAAACCACTAGCTTTGCAAAATTTCGGTACTTCTTTCTTTCGTAGCGAGTTTTCGCACCGACGGCACAGCCAGATCATAGACGTCCTGCTACTTTCGTCGCTCACGATTGCCTCCAGAATAATCTCACATTCGCTCTCATTGCTACAAAGCGGACTGAACAAATCTGCATCTGAATTGAAGCGTCTCATTACGGCTTGCTCCGATTTGGTCAATTCTCCACAACTGCCGCATATCCGAAGAAAGGGGGCGTCGACAGCAGCGTAAAATGCTGTAACGGGCACAAATACGAATTAAGTTATCGTATTTATGGTTGCTTGCAGACATACCTCTTGCATCTTCACTACGGCCGTTAGCATCACATTGGGTCTTCGAATTCGTCTTGCTTCTCTTCACACTACGGGGCTGACGTTGTGCCGCGGCATTCCGTTTCATTGTTTCTTCGTAACGCGCAAGCCTCTCTATCGTGCTTGCAGCTTCCATGGCTTCGACTGGGGCTGCATTTGTCCGTCATTTTTTTCCGCTGTGGAGTTCTACTGCGCTGAGTCTCCAGCGCTGCGAGAGTTCGCCTTGCTGCTTTAGCAGCACGAGATGTCTGGGTTGGTTTTACCATCTTCATACACATTGCCTTGTTAGTACTGCTTCTAAACTAAATATCCATACCACATTAGCTCTCACCTCACGCGATAGATGGAAAATCCTGCAATACTGCTCTCTGTTGATTGTTTTGCCAATCTTCTGGTTGTGTCGAATCCAAGTTGCCTGGATGTCGACCACAGTGCTCTGTGCAATCGGACATGATTTTTTTCGAAATACTGTTTTTTATCCAAAAATAATTCCAACGACTAGCAGTGGGCCTCATTTATTATTTTCGGCACAGTTACAATCATGCAATTCTAAGTAGCATAACATTATCATAAATATTGCTGAATTATTTATCTCAGCAGTGTACTGGTCAAAACCCGATATTTGTCTAAGATTTATTGCAGTACCGGAATCGCGAAAAATAACTCATAAATGTTTGTTTCGATTGGAATTGGATGTCTGTTCTTGAAGTATGAATGTGTACTACATTGGACTGCGAACTACAGCCAGTTTATTGCAGATAAAACCTTCTAGATCCGAGCGGATCCAAAACCTCACGCTGAGACTACATTGTTTTAGTTTAGATGACGTTTGATTGGCCCGCGACGATCACTGAGCATTCTTCAAGCATTCAACTGCGTCCAAGATATTCGACTTATAGATTTCGCACCCATTGGGGCGGAACTCGTACTCAGAAGCTCAGAACTATAGCCAAAGTGCCAAAGGTAGTACTTCAAGTACTTGAACTTTACACACTACATGTCATCTTTGCTCTGGGAAGGCGTTCGAAGCCAATTGACTTGTAGATGGCACCCTCGCGTGCGAAGAGGATACCTTTGCACTTCACTACAGGCTAAACTCTTAAACAACGAACACTATGTGGCGCCATTTGATTAGCTTGAAGCGCGCTTCCCAGTCATTGGATATATATATATATATTCCTGCGAAGTCAGTTGTAAAAGTGATCACCAATTTCTTACTAACGACAACGTTACATTCGACGGCTTTCATTATTACAGCGTATCCTTGGCAGTTCTACCCGTCCAGCCTTCATTTTGTAACTAGGCGGAATTTTTGGAATTGCATTTGAAACTCAAACATTGCGTATACATACCATAACACTGCAGCAAGCCTGAACACTGTTTCCACTGCGCTACATCGGTATCAATCCTCGACAACCAGATTCTCTACACAGACATTTTTCCTGCTCTTCAATAGCATTCCTTCGTGTTATCAATCCCACCATCCATAAGTGTGTCAATGAACACTTTCTTACCTTCGTAGCTACATTTTCCCCTCCATAGTCAATCGTAATTTCCTCGTCAACTTCAAACCTCTTGGCGAAAACGCCACAGCAGATTTCGTCATTCACCTCCCAGCGCTCGACCACGCAATTAGGGTTCTAGCTGTGGTTCGCTAATCTCGCGATACCACCGCAAGCACGGGCGTCGATAACTTCGCCCTTCGTGAGACTCATTCCGTAGTAGTTGGTGGATCCTTTAAACTCCTAATGATGAAGATCAAACCTAGAGTGTTAATAATGAGCCCGTTTCATCATTTTACACAATTTACTACCTTGTCCCGGCGCGAATAGGTTGAGCTTTCAATTATTTCTCCCGTGTACTGGCAGACGAAGGCGCCAGGCAAAATTGGCTGGCTTGCAAATAGAGAAATCCCCTTGTCGTGAAGTTTCTTTACGGAAAGCAAAGCAATGCTACCATTTTGCATTTGCTGGTTGCTGCAGGGACCTTCAGTTACGCATTTGCCTCGTACACATTCGACTTGCATCTGTACAACGACCAATCATTAACAATGTTGCTATAATTTACTAATTATCAAACGTACCGAGCGATTTTCACAACCAATACCACAAACTTCAGTCCAATCTTCACCACGATTGCACTTGCATTCAGGAATTTCGTCCTGCAAACGATGTTAGATACAAGTTTGGTAGTCTTTATTAATTACAGATGCTTACCTTGTTGAGAACTCGTTTGGTTCTGATAAAAACTTTATTCTGGTCAATAGATTCGTACTCCGTAAGAGCCTGCAAAGCACAACGCTCTTCGACCAGCTTTGAACAGTTCACTAGTAAAAAAATTCAGAAGGATTTTCATACACATTTCACATACAGGTCTAGCACTCCATCGCTCGTGCTGGTATTTGGCGGCGGCTCGGTTCGGGCCAAGAACCGATCCATTTTAGACTGCTGACGTGGCATCACCTCTACTGTTTTGTGTTTGAATTTAATAAATTTAAGGTAGTTGAGATTCGCAGTCGCCAAGGGCTTGTGAATGCTCTGGCTGCGATCTAAAAGAATTTTAGTGATGAGCTTCGATTTGCCGTTTATAAACTTCAAAGTCAAGCAACCCCCTTGACCACTCTCACGCCCACTTCGCTTGCAATCGTTTATACTGTAAGAAGTCACAAGGGCTCAGGGCGGCCGTAAAATGTAGAAAACAACGTACTGACATGTTTATTGAATTATGTTAGCAAGCATGTTGAAGCGGTGTGGGGGGTCTGCTCGACTGCTACAGTAGAGTAATTTAAGCGCTGACAAATTGGCCGAGCTTAACGCTGGTGAGAGTAAAGATTTAGTTGATTGCATGGTGCGGCTAAAGACGCTAGAGCGACCCTCGCTAAGCGAGCTCAATAGATGCTCCGAATCATGAAGACGAAGCAAAAGCATACGTAAGGCTGAAAAAAGTAGAGTCAACGTAGTTATGCAGCATATAAGCAGATTCATGCTTCCGTTGCTGCCAAAAGGTGCAGATAAATATGTCTTATCTTCGTTCTGCAACGTAGAAAATTGGAATAAAGGGCCAATCGCATGAAATCCAAAACCAAACGTAACGTACTGAAATGCATGTTGAAGCAGTCTACTGCCAGGAGGCAATCCCGCAGCCGATTGAACTTGCGACCTATTTTGCAGAGTTCTCACTTTTTCTTTTGCGCTTTGGAGCTTAAGCTCGCCGTCCTCGCAAAACTTTGCCTTTACTACCCGTCCACAGTCGGCATGGAGTTGATCAACCGCCTGCGCAACACTCTCCTGCAGCAACAAGAGGACAAGGTGTTGAACTTCTTCACCAAAGTGAGCGACTTGAGAGACTTCATTTCGGCTCGAGAGCCTACTGCTGGCGTGAACGTCACTAATGAATTTCCCTCATTTAGTCTTTCATTTAGTGGCTACACTACCAAATATGGATACATTTTTCGCAAATATGGGTACACCGGAGGATGGCTACAGAAGCCTCGCGACAATTCTTCTTCGAAGAAGTACCGTTTTATTTCAAATCCTAGGCTCTCTAATATCACACCCCCTTAACAGTCGCACTAAAAATAACCCTCGTTTCAGTGGCTGTTAACTCATTCGACAGAGGAGACCCACCTCCACTTTTTGTACTTGAAGCTTGAAGCTGGCTGACCTTTCCGGCAGAGCAGGTTCTTCAACAGAGGTAAAATTCGTAAGTTTGGTCCCAGAACGCACGATTATAAATTATAATCCTAACCTATTTCAAAACCTAATACCGTAAAAACAGTAAAGGGTAAGTAAATAAGAGTCACATGATGATAGGGGGGGGGGGGGGGCTTCGCCCCAATTACAAACGAGAAATAAAGGTTTGCTTGAGCGCGGGTCTCCAAAAATCACAAGAAAGAGGTGACAACAAAGTGCACAAGGTGTGGCGGGTACAACAGTGAACACGAGGTGGGCATTCTACGATCCAGATACGATATGAGTGTACGATGATTATGGAGAAAATCAAGATAACGAGAGTAGTAATTATTCCGCACATTATAACTGCAGTTTTTTCTTACCGTATTTTACCAACGATAATTGGTAAACCTCATATAACCACGAAGGCAGTAAAAGTAGACAGCTCCTCTAGACACGCTTTCATGCGAAAAAAATTGTATTAAATTCAAAGGCAGAAGTTGTAGAAGGCTAAAGGTGCAATCAACACACTTAGCGTCGATCATTCTGAAGATCATAGGTTGTTGTCGCTCATGTCATCGTCGCTCAGATCTGCATGCGGTTCATGATACAATAAGTAGTGCCCTTGTTGGGCAAGATCGATATTCTCTTCCTCTTCTGATCGAAGAGTAGTGACGGCTTCACAGTCCTCTCCTTATTGACGCTAAGGCACTCGGATGACAACTTCGGTATATTAACTTTGTGCTAGGTTGTCTGTCCTCTACGCTATCGCCAGACCGGCAATCGCGCTCTTCTTGTGGTGGAAGGCTCCGCAATTCTCCGCCCTTGCCCACGCCTTCAACAGTGTTCTCGTCGGCTCAAATCTCACACTGACGGCTCTTCTCACCAGCGCTTTGTCGTCGCTGCTTGCGATGATGACCCTCCAGCCACTTCATACACCGGTTCAATAGCCGTTCACTACATGCATTTACCGGACACTGGCGTGTGAACGGTAATGCTCTGCTCAACTGGTACCTTCTGTGCTCGCTGTCCTTGGTCCTCCACTCGACCTCCGCCGTCTTCGCCTTGTTGCTCTCGTCGCCCGTGCCCACATGGCCCGCTCGTTGACCCACACGCGACCCCCTTCAAAATGCCCTCGCTTACTTTCTCTCCCTAGATTCACCGCCTTAGCAGCCATGCGCCGATTTCTTTAGCTAAGCCCTCGGCAAAACAAGAGCTGGCTACAGCACGAGTGTTTCGTAGGGGTTCGCTCACCTTCTCTCACTCCAGTACTTAAGTACATGTTTCTCGCATTTGTATCTACAATATAATGCATTTGCAGCATACAGTGATATATCTTTTCGTATTGGTTAACATGTAGCTGCCATAGAAATGCTTCGAAGTCTGTAGCTGCCATAGCAGCAGCTGACAACGTTACGCGATGTGTCACAATCAGGGTTCGGTAGTAGTGGGGATTTGGGTCCGTTAGCACTAAGACTAAGTTTGCCTCACTCGTTTTACCATGGCTAGTCTTAGTTCTGCTAAAAAGTAAAAGATTTTGCAGAACAAAGACTAATAGCACTACTAAAATGACTACTAAGCTATTCAAGGTCTCACCAGAGCCCCCTCTTCCCTTCTTCCATACCCTGAATCTCAGCACGATTGTGACGCAAGACAAGTTGACGTTGAGCACGCTCATTGTCAGTACGTGCCCGCAATGGACCCATGACAATCGAGCCTCTTTTCCAAAATCGGCAAACCCCTTACAAACATCAATGTTCTGACAGAGCTGCTCAACATTCCACACCGATTTCCCTCCCGATTCCGTATGGTCAACTTGGCCAGAACTTCGTTACGCTCATCTTTGTCGGTGATCTGCTGCTTCACAACCTCAGCCCAATCAACACGGTGATTCAACCACTTCTTGACTTCTGCATCTTCTTCGCGATTTACTTCATCTTCGAAAGGATTAGCATGTGTCTGCTGCGAAATTTTATCTCCTCACAACAACTCCGTGTCCGTCCGTGTCAAACGTTGCCGGAGGTTCAGCGGTTGGTAACACCGAAACTACATTCCCGCTGCTATTTTCCTGATTGTCATTCTCCCGAGCAATCCTGTACAAGCAACGGTGTACTTTAGGAAGAAGTTCTTTAGCTTCTTCCAGAATTTTGTCAGCACATTCAGGGTTTTCTGGAACCCGAAGGTAGTTTACCGCTGCTCGTTTCGTACGCGGATCGAGCAATAAAGCCATATCCATTTCCACAGAGGGCTTCGGCAATCAAGTAGCAATATGGTGAAGGGCGCGATTAATACGATACATGCTGCAAAATAGATTAGATATGAGTTGAATGCCAGATGTAGGGAAGGTAGCATACCGTCTCGATCAGCCAGCGCGCGATGTGCCCAGTGACGAAGTATTGCGGAGGCTTCGGCTTAACCACGCCTTTTGGCGCTTTGTAGGGGTTTCCTCCGTGCTTTGGCTGGGTGTATGCCGCTTGCTATCCTCCTCCACCACGAATCAGCTAGCGCGCTGCTTGCGACGGTCACTCTCCTTCACAGTTAGCTCATGACTTTTATGAGCTAGCATCAAGTGAGATTTTGCATTTGATGCATTCCACAGTGACGGCTGCCACGTTTTTGTTTTCGTGCATATCGTGCAGATGTAATTGTATTTCTTTTTGCGGAAAGCCACAGGACTCTCCAATTTGTGAATCGCTGTCCAGATGGGGTCGGTTGTGTTTGGTGTTACTAGATGGACGATGGTGTCAGGAATATTGCAATTTGGCGTCGGATTATCTTCTTGATCTCGTTGGGCTAAATCAATCACCGTAGTCTGGCTCGGTGCGGATATTGACAAACCGCTTGGAGATAAGTCCTGGGAATTGTTGTCGTCCCCGGTGAGCTTGTTGACACACGCACGACTGCAGAATCTTTGCATGTGTGAGTTAGTTGGGGTGTAGATAGTGAGTTCAGCGTGTGATTATAAAATAGTATACCTCTTTGACAAATCGGCGTCATCCCTCAAATCGTTACTGCAAAGATGATGCACTTACTTCCCGCAAACACAGTAAGGAGCCGTTGTTTTCAGCGCCGGATGGCTGCAATCGATACTAGCACACTTCATTGCTGTTGCAAAACAGAGAAGATCGAGAAATGAGGCGAAGAGAGAGAGAGAGAGAGAGAGAGAGAGAGGGGGGGGCAGGAGAAAGCGAGAACACCACCCATTGCGCGTGTCCTTTCAGGCTCAAATCTTGTCTGAAAATTAGTAGTGAATTTAGTACTAATATCCAGTGCTCTCGGACTACTAAGTTCTTATCTCTACTAAGGCCGCGACTTGTTTTGGTTATGCTTAGCACTACTAACAGTAGCGGTACTATTTTTATTTGTTAGTACTAATTTGGGATTACTACCGATCCCTGGTCGCGATTGACATATGAAGTACCTGAGCGGTGGTACCTGTATAAATAATAACACAATGCTAATTCGTGGAGGTCGAAGATTATGGAGTTTCATGGGAAACCTAATCCTGTGGGTCAGACTCGCAAACCTAGCCGGGTAACTGATCGAGACTGAATTTGAGGCATCAATTTCAGCACCTGATTATTCTCTCATTCTTACTGGTTGAGAGATGAAAAAATTATCAAAAAATATCAGAGACTGTCAGCTTTCCAGACCTGCAAAGCTCTTTGATTTTACGCTAGCCGTTTTCAATTTATGGGCCTGTGAAATGATCGACCTGTCAGCGGCCCTCAACTGGTTTAATTTATTAATGCAGCACCAACTAAGAATCAGCTGAAGTAACTCAGCGTGGGAATAGATCGAGTGATCTGCCGAGCCACAGCACGCGCCATTTCGATGTCGGGACCTAACATACTGGCGATGTCATAGTATCGTTCCAAGCTCTCGCGAATACCAGTACCGTTATCCTCTCCGCTGGAGGCCAGGACAGCAGAAAGCTTATGTCGCTTGATAGGTGCTTTGACGCACGGTAGGCCGATCGCTGCATCAGCACCAGCACTTGGTGACTGGTCGAGTAGTGTCCTGATCACCGCAAACGCCCTGCTAGGATTATTAATAATCACCGATTGGATGGTACCTTCGCTGTTAGTCGGGTCGGCGACCCAAAAAAACTGCCAATGCTTCCCAAAGTCGGTCAAGAGTGCCATCACCTGCTCAGCAACCATAATATCTAGTGCGATAAGCTCTGACACAGTCTGATTGATGGAGCTTGGTTTCACCTCTCGCTTTACTTCAATGATCAATCTCACGTCAGGCAGCAGCTTCACTTCGACTGGGTTCTCCAAGACCTGATCACTCAGTATGATCAAGTCGGTGCGTCCAACAAGAGTGATGTTGTGCCCTGGTACGTCAACCGAAAGAAGATCTTCCCCACCTTCTCCTTTTTCCACACCGCACACGCAAAGCTCGTTCCTCGCGAGCGCATCGTCGATGTTGACTTGCACGTACTCGCGATATCGATCACGTTGCTGTTCCTCGGCGAGCCAGATTTTGTCACCATGTTCATCGACTGTGTATGCCCACGGAAACGGTTGAGCACTGTTATCAGTCTTGAATTGAACCGCGCGGGAGGATCGCACTCTAACATGCAACGTATTCAAAAGACTCGAATTCGCGCTCGAGTGGCAAACCTTGCGTTTTCCCAGCCCAGTTTTGTTCAGTTGGTCGTACAGTCGGTCGAACTTATCAACGAGTTGATCCAACTTGGATGCCTCACTCACTGACCCACCAACCGCTTCCGGAACCACCACCAGCACGTGAACGGTCTTCTTCGTCGGAGCACCTTCAAATACGTCCCCAATATCGTCTGCTGGGTCCACTTCCACGTTCATCAGTGTCTTCACTTGCTCAGGAATAACCCCGCTTCGCATAGAGATCACACCAGGATCCTTCGATGAGAGCCACGCGCCGTCCGCCTTCTTCGCAAGGAAGAGCTGCAGGTCCTTGGCATCGCATGTGATCGTCTTTGAGTTCTTCCCCTTGATCGCGTCCTTCAATGCGGCAACCGACCCGCCATCGTCGATATCCACCTCGAACGCGCTTCCCGCCACCCCAACGATCGCACAGAAGAGCTTCACCATCTTCTGGAATGCGGAAGAAAGGAGGGAGAATTTCTGTTCGTACTTAAGCGGGACAAAGGCGCTTCAGACTTTTAACCAATGACGAGACAGTGCGGAAACTTCCTTTTGCATGTAATCCCTGTGTTGTTATTTGTGGTGCTTGGAGGTGTGGAGGAAACCTCCTTCGCACCAGACACTACTTAGCGGTGTTGTCGTTGTTCTCAACGGTTGACGCTCAGGAAGCTTTAAACCTACTCTCGCTGGTAAAATTACGGGAAGGAAAAAACTGCTGGTGTTCTGTTCCAGTATATACTACAAACAAGAACCATGCACAGCAAGGCCAAGGTAAGACCCTTACTTGAGCTCAGTTAGTTGTGGCGTTGATATGGCCTAATTGTTTAAAATCGTTCACGCTCGTACACTTAGAAGCTGCTGTGAAATCTTCAAGTGTTTCTACAATTTGTTTGAAGCAAGCAGCAAGATGAGTCGATGATTCTGCCGCTTTCTGCTGTGGGTGGCGTGAAGTGCGTCACGAAGATGGAGATGTAACAATCAGAAGCGTGGAATCGTTCCGATTTTCCGCTCGCACTGATGGATCTGCTGGATGATCTCCTTGAGACCCACCAAGAGCTGTCGAAGAAGTCGAAGAATCCGAGGAAGCCGAAGAAGCCGTTGATGGCGGAGCTGGAGATGAAGATAGCTCATGGCAAGGCAAGTTGATGTAAGCTGCAGAACGACAGACTATGCGAGAGCTTCGAGGCAGCGTCCGAATTCATGTGAGACTGTGCGTTCTTACCGTGTCAAGCAATGGACAAGAACCCGCAGTCTGCCCTTATGTGCGCCACAATTGCGTGTTTGCGATTTCACCCAGTCTGCCCTGGTTTGCGTTTGGCCAAACATGATCATGCAAGACGCACACTGTGCATTGGAGAGTGCATTGCAGTATAATTTTAAGAGCTGGAAGAGAAGGACAAGCAGGGAGACAAACTGAGACGGACATGTATCAGGTGCGCCAAACTTTCTTGTTCGCACATAGAGGGATGTTCAAAATGGTCTAATGATCTACACTGCTTTTGCCTTCTTCTCGTAGGAACTGCATGACAATACTCGGGTGGTTGCCTAGTCGTGGCCGTTTCTGAAACCTAACAACGACGCCAGTGACTTCGTTTGATTTCGACGGTGCCACCAGGGATGCATCACGAGGGTTTCCTCCCTGAAAACGAACAGAAATGAAGGCGCAGTCGTCGAAGTGTCAAAAGGCTTCCCATGTAAGGCTATCCGACTTGGATGTATCTCGTTGTTCGGTTCTTTCATTTTACTTTTTCGCGTTGTTATGTCCGTTCCAATATCATGTTAATTTACCGGCTCCAAGGCAGTTTATCGGGTGATGGCGAAATGTTGACGATGGTTGTTAACCTGTCACCAACACATCAAAAGCAAGTGAGAGTTTGTGTTTGCCAAGCGAGTGAATCAGTGCGAGCTCGGCAAACCCAAGAGACAGATCAAGTTCAAGAAGGATGGTGTGCGTCTCCTCTTCATGGGCCACTTTAGTATTCGTTAATCGATTCTTTGATAGTGCTAAACTGTATCGTGTCATTTAAGAAGTTGGTGCTTGAGGCAGTCGTTGATCTTGCAGGAACGACCTTCGAAGACGCACCGCTGGCAGTACCCGGAACGTTTGGGACTGCCTTGTCCTTTAAGACTGTGGCCATCTCCACGACTTCTGTACCTTGACGGACTCGTTGATTTTGAGGTTCTGGAACTGGCAGACGGAGATATCGCGGAGGTTTTCGATAGCGGAACAAGCAGTGTGTTGCCTCCGTCACTCTTCTGTTCGATGCCATTTTCCAGTGGCGATTGATCACGAGGTGAGTGCTTGCAATTTATCCTTGACAGTTCACTGCCGTTGCTGTCGCTATGAGTTCCTTGTAAAGGCTGGAGTGCTAGACTGGTAGAGGGTGGGGATGGTGGAGGAGTTGTCTGAGACGCAGAGTCGCGCAGCTTTTTAGCTTTATGATGGTGGTGGTGGCGTCGTGACGATGAAGGCTGCTGGGCGTAGATCAATGCAGCTGCCCGTGCAGATGACAGCGGAGTGAGCTCGAGTTCAGCTGCCGTGGAGGCTCGTGGGGTGGGTTTGTTGCCTCTTGCACTGGAAGAACGTGAGCTCTTCACCTCGTCGTCCGCCGCAGGTTGTCGCGGTGTTTTTCGTGGTGTTTTATTCGTTCGAGCGGTTGGCTGCGCTCCAGGGAGAACCAGCGGCGGCAGCATTGAACGCGATGATACCAACTGTTCGGTTGGGGTCTCGTCGATGACTCGGGGCGAGGGAATCGCTGGAGGTGCCGAAGACGGCGCTTTTTCCTTGAGCCTTGGCGTTCCGAGACCTCGCTTGCTCGTGTTCGGGCTCTGCCGTCTGCCACGACATGAAAACATGCGTCAGTGAGTCCACAATATACATACGAGTAAGGCAATCGAGTCAAAGATGTTCTCACCTTGGAGTCGGCTTCGTATTGGGTGGAGTCGCTCTTCCAGATAGAATCACTGGTAGAAAAGCCTGCGTGTCCTGCTCTGGCGATCGAGTTGATGCTATTGGCGTTTTCGTCTGTTCTTGTTCCGTTGTGGGCGAATTGATAGGCGTGTAGTCGTCATATCCGTCGTCATCGTCAGGTGGGGCCTCTTGACGGAGCGTATTTTCCTTTATTACTGGTAAGGTACTCTCGGAGGCAGCCTCTGAAGATTCTCCTGCTATGTTAGGGATTTTTAAAGCAGGTACGAGACTTGATGCATCAGGCTCCTCAGTCGTAGGTTGCGCTTCTTCGGCCTCGGTAGAATTGTTGTCTCCAATATCGATATCTGTTTCACCTTCCGGAGAATTGTCTACTACAGCATTTGCGTGCAGTTCTCCATTCACCGTTTCGGTAGGACATTGATTTGCATCAAGCATTGCTCGAGCGACGTTTTCCAAAGCTTTAGTGACTGCTTCATCAGCAGTTAATTTTGCAAGTTCGCGTGGATCGGCAATGATAGATTCACATCCTAGGGTAGAAGAAGCCTTTGAAGTTTCAGCAATTTCTTGTATCTCTGAAGTACTGGAGTCACCACTTGGTGTAGCTTTAGCAACAGCATGGGCAATTAGCTCACTGCGTACAGCTTGAGTGATCCAATCTGTGGCGTTGTGGAGTGCAATATCTTCTTTAGGGTCAAGACAATCAGAGACTAGCTCTTTTCCAACAGCCTCAGAGATCCACTCGGTGGCCCTTTCGACAGCTTGTATGATATCTTTCATCGCTTCGTCTGTCACAGCATCGACTGTGGCCTTCGCAAAAGTGTGGATAGTGTCGCTTGGCGTCCGATCCAATTGTTGTATCGTTTCTTCAACTTGAGATGGCATCAGGTTATCAGCAGGAAGCTGGATCAGTTCACCGTGCTCTTGGTCTAACAATTGCGTTGTCAATGTTTCAACTTGTGTCAATGCTTGCACTACTCCGTGAACGATCTCGTCAACTGTCGCTTTAGCTACAGCGTGAATACTCGACAACTGCACATTATCGGGTGGTGTATTGTCACCGAGGTTGAGAGCTTGAGTACTCAACGTTTCTAGTCCACTGTCACCACTAGCACTCACCGCCTGAGAAATAAGCTCGCCTCGCACTGCATCAGTGATCCATTGCGTTGCACCAGCGACGGCTTGTGTCAATGCTTGGACTGCTTCTTGAACAACCTCATCCACTGTAGTTTCAGCTATGGTGTGAATATTCAGGACACGTATCCCGTCCGGTGGCGTATTGTGGCCAAGGTTGAAAGCTGGAATACCAGTCTTCTCAATCTTGTCACCACCGCTCATGGAGAACCTGGTTTCTGCGCCGAAATGAGCTCTAGAATCGCCATCACACGGTTGAACTTCTCAAAAATAGCGATTTTCGGTGAATAAACAAAGCTATGAATGGGTGGGTACCGTCGTTCAGTTCACTATTTCTACTTAGTGTGAACATTTACTGCATGTAGTTAGTTATGCTGAATTTTGCCGCAATGTCTTTGGAGACAGAGGTCTACGCTGGGGCTTGTAAACTTCTCGTGGCGTTCGCTCTCGCGGCGTTCGTTCTCGCGGTGAAGGTTGTCTACTAGCAGGTCTGTTTCTTTGATCACCCTGGACTAGTATAGCCCGTACGCTTTGGACGAGGTCATTCTGGATGTTATAGTGGTCCGCTACAGTCAACACGGACTCGTATTGACGCCAAGCTGCATCGCGATCGCAGAGATGCTCGAGTTCGACTGCAAAGTTGTAATGTGCCACTAGCAGCAACTGAGCGACCTCGACGCTAAGTGCGTTCCCACAACTTGAAAGATGTGCCACTGCAGCCTTGGCATGTGCAGTGGCTGCAGCATGGCGGTGCAAGTGTGAGAGCACGGCGCATAAATTGAGTCGAGTGAGAGCGACCTCGGACGCTGGAATGGTGAGTTCAGTACCTTGCAACTTGAGCTGCAACTTCAACGCTCTTTCGAGAAAACCGACGGCTACAAGAGGCTTTCCAGTGTGTTTGGCATGGCAAGCGAGGTTGTTGAGCGTGATGAGGCGGAATACTCGTCGTCGACTCATATGTTGAGACTCTGCTAGACTGCGCAAGTAGCCGGTATGACGCGTATGCTGCTCTGCTCGCAGTAGAAGATCACCGCATTGCTCGATTGTGACGACGTCCTCAGGCGAGGATGTCTGTAGGGCTTTGATCGCAAGTGTGTTGCTCAGCAGCAGAAATTCTTCACACCCTTGCTGGAAGTGCACCGAGTGGATCCCGAATTGCTCTTTATGGTAAAAGATGAGCCGTTCTACGTCTTCAAGAGCGCGGTAGACTGCAGTGAAGGAAGATTGAGGATCGGCATCCAGGACTCGGACATTAACGAGCGCTGCAGCGAGTGCAACCATGACCTCTTGCTCGGTCATCTGAGATACTTGGAGAGTGACGCCCTTGAACGATGCACCGAAGATAAAATATGGGACGTTGATGCCTAGCTATTTTAATTAAGGTGTCGTAAAACTAACACCTTCTCAGTGCTAACATTGCTGAAGGTGACGAGATGACGGAAGTCATGGACGTCTTGCAGCGCTTGAGAGAGCTGGGCTTCCAGCATGGGCGATATCAAAGGTGCAGCGGTGATAAAAGTATGAGGTGATTTTGTCATTTAGTTCTAACTTTTTGTTGCTACTGAACAAATAGCAAGTTCTTAGTTCGCCATGAACCAAAGACTCAACGAACCAAGAGAATCCGCCGTGGATCTCCTTGGGAATCAACATTTATGCGGAAGTCTAAAGCTGAAAAGAGGGCGAGTTCCCAAGAAATCGGTCAAATATCCGTACACATTGTAAAACTAAGTTTCCTTCTGCGTTACAGGATATCATCTTACGGCCGTGGGAGTATCCGATGGCAGCTCAAAACCTCTCCGTTATCCTCATCCAAAAGCGCGTGCGTGGTATGCTCTGTCGCTCAGCCAATGGACGTCAACAAGTGTCCAAGAAGATGAATATCGGTCGTGCCCGCAGTCCAATGCAGCAGTTTGTCACGAGAGGAGGGAAGTATTCCGATGAGCGTGGCTTTCGTACGTTTGTCGCTACAAAAATCCAAGCCTGGTTTCGGATGCAGAGACTGCGCTGGCGAGGAACACTCGAGCGCTATCCGCTCTACCACATCGCAGCACTTCAGCTCCAGTACGCCTGGAAAACGTACTCGCACCACAAAATGTACCAACGACAAGCGCGCAGCATCAACCCGGCAATGACGCCTATAGATCGCGCTGCGTTGTGCATTCAGACCAACTGGAAGAGCTACACACATCGACGCATTTTCCGATACTATCGCGATCTCCTCACATTCCGCAGTACCGGAGACCCAGCACGAATGCTGCGAGCTATCAACCCTTCGGAAGCGTCTCTACTAGACGCTTCTATGGGCGCACATGTCCGATTCCGTCTCGGAGGTCTCGCGTTTCCTCCCACTATCTACTACAAGATCTTCACTCGTAAACCCGTATGCGATCTAGGTGCGTTTAGTCCTAAGAATTACACCGTAACTCGTCAAAGTGGTCCGGTGAGTCACTCGCACGCTAAGCGTCACACCACGTACATCCGAGTGGGCAATTCGTACTATAGAGCGCGACAGCAAGCGGAAAACACTCGGCTATGGTATTGTCGTCTCGAGAATAATGGCTGGCGGCCAGTGACTGCCAAAGTGCTGGCCGAAGCCAACGCAGACCCCATCGCTCAAGCCACGGGCAGTCGTCGCGCTGTCGACGAATTCCACTACTCGAAACTTGTGCGACAACAAGATCGCGAACGTGCTCGTCGCCACAAGAAGCGACTGTGGATGCAGAAACTCTACACACAAGGACTGCTCACTGCAGCGGACCGTCCCGAGGAGCTACGGGACGAAGATCAAACTGTCAAACAGCCGTCGCTGCTATTCGACGTGGACTTTGAGGACGAAAACTGGGAGGCTGAGGCCGAAGAAATGTTCCAATGGGCGTCTGCGCTCGACTATGACGAGTACGTCGACAACTGGTATGAACTTGGTGGCACTGCTGCTACGGACGATGAGCTGCAATAGGATGGCTATGTTGAAGTTAACATGGCTACACGTTTTCGTACTTAACACGAATCATTGTCTGGTACACTGTACCACATCACACGAACCACAAGCACTATCACTGGAACCACGTCAAGATGCTCCGCCTGCAGCATCGGTTGCGCGCTTCTCCTGGCCACCTGCGGCGTTTTCAGCACACAGCGGCCTCGGCTTCATCTTCGCCGGCGTCTTCTTCCACTACCTCCAATTCCACGGGCTCTGATTCGAGCTCTGGCACTGGCGGTAGTGGGGAGGAGCCACCCAAGTACAAACCTGGCTGGTTCAGCCGCAACCCGGGTGTGACGCTGGGCGGCATCCTGTTGGGTATCGGTTTCTACATTTACCGTGGCTCGCGCGGCAAGAAGAACTTCGAGGCCCTGCAGAATCCCATTGCAGAGGCGGCCGTCATCTCGCCCTACGAGGCTTGGGAACTGCGGTCCAGTAACAATATCACGTACGACTGCAAGACTGTTAGGCTTTGAACTAGAGGTTTAACGCTCCTGTGACTATGTGATACAGACCCACGGTTTTTGAGGATGTGCGGGCCGGTGTGACCAGGGCTTTTCCGGCCGGCAAGGCCACGATGCAGCACTTTGACCAATATCTGGGCTTCAAGCTGGGACAGGCCTGTCCGACGGGAGTGAGCAAAGCTTACCACTTGGAGCGACTGCTGCTGAGTCTCGAGACGGACGCAGACCGCAAGAGCGACGTGGACGCGCAGATGGTGGCGTTCTCTATGGCAGTTAAGGGCGCTGTGGATGAGCGCCTGCGGATCCTGTTCAACTTGGCCACGAACGCGCCGGCGGGTGAAGCGCTGAGCACGAATGAGGACGAGAAGAAGGAGGAGAGCGACACTCGCGAGATGACCCAGGAGCAGCTAAAGCGCCTACTACATCTGCTACTGGAGACGTACCAGATCCCGTCCGAGAAGCGCGTACTGGCCGTGGAAGACGCCAAGTACCCGTTCCAGGAGTACATCGCAGCGACACCGTCTGACATGCTCAAGTCGGCGGTGCAGGCGCAGGTAAAGGACAAGAAGATCACGGAAGAGGAGGCGTGTGACCGCCAGGCGTACACGTTCGAGGCCTTCTCACAGATCATGCGGGGCAAGACTGTGTGTCTCTGGGGCGAGTGCTTCTCCAACAGCAAGAAGAAGATGAAGAACTAGGCTAGGCAGACTAGACTCTGTTCCACAATACAGACCTTTAGGGCACACTACTCGATGGTCCAGACCTCGCTGTCTCAGTACGTCTGTTCTGCTCCATGTAAGCGAGCCGCATCATCGGATGAGCCTCCACCTGGTTCATTTCCTGCAACACCGAGGCCACACTGTGCCGTAGCTGGTGGAACTGCTTGATCGGCACGTAAATTGTCCTCGACCTGCCGTCCGACGTCTGTAGACGCAACAGAATGCGCTGTCCCGAGTCCTTAGCCACTTTCCAGTGCAGCTGCTGCACTCTCGGTAGCGAGAACGTCGCACTCGCCGCCATATCGTTCAGTCTGTTCCAATAGGTCGCCAGCAGCTGCCGGAATCGCGGCGCGAAGGCCTCGGGGAGGCTCTGGAGCACAGTCTGCTCCATCTTGAGCGACGATGGCTGGGTCGTCTCGTTGTCCCCTACTGTAGGCAACAGGAACGACATGTGCTCACGTGACGCCGCCTCCAGTAGCCTCCGCAGGATAGCGGAGAGAGTCACGAAGTCGCGCTGCTCAGCGCTGGGAACGCCACTGGCCACGCTCTCGGCCTCAGCATCGTTTTGACAGCACAGGACCATAGCCAGCTGCATGGACAGGCCCAGGTGACGCGCTACAAAAGCCTCGCCGACGTCGCTAACCAGCGACTTCCACTCGCGGGCGGCTACGATGAAGTTGTCCATTATCCGGAAGCTGGATATGTGTAACAAGAAAAAAAACTCGTTTTTCAAAAACGACTTAAAAATACGAAATACGATGGCGTTTGGTTTGTAAAAAAAAATGTAGAAACAATTTTCCGTGTCAAGTATACTAAATATGTTTTGTTTTTAATGACACAATTATTGGTCCAGTTAAAAACAGTAGACAGCATAATGAATATACCACGTACAAAACTCACAAAGAGCTATGTGATCGTGTCAGTACAGTATTGTACTACCTTGTAACCCTTGATAAAAATCTCAAGCGAAGACGCTAACTTTTAATTTTCTTTTGTACCTTTAATGTTCAAGATGATTATTAACAAGCACTTCACAACCCAACTGCAGGTTCCCAGGTAGGTCGGGCCTGATGTAAGTTCTCGCCAGCAGTTGGTTGGGCGAGCAAACACTATATAGTATATATATGCTTTTTCTGTCTTAAACGATGGCTTAGACGCTTGCTAGTCTAATCAATACAATAATTCAGGAGGTGTGAACCCAAGGCGATTCGAACTTGTCGTTCAGGTGGTGCCACTGATTTGGATGTGAACACAACATTACTTCCTTCTTTGATAAATTGACACTTGTTAAAGAGTAAAATAAGCGTTGTACTATTGTTTTGTGTCCCCGCCAAAAAATATCACAGTCTAAGCACTCTGTTCTTCTATCCACCGCTTGTGCTTAAGCGATCGAACGTGAACATGACGATTTGCAGCAGAATATTTACCGCCACACTCGCAATTGGATCGAGTTGCCAGCCGCTCCTTAGAAATTGCTTCTCATCGTTGCTTATTGGCTTTATAATATTGCTTGTTTTAGGCTCCAATGTTGTCTTTATTATTTTCTCGATAATCCTTCTTACGCAGATGATCTATCGTAAATGAATTATTCTTATTCACTGCTCATTTTCTAAATTTTGCAATCCAGAGCTGTTCATATTCTTGAAGATGCTGTTGGTCGACAACCTAATACTCTTTTACAAGAGTGATCTTGAATTTATCAATTCCATAAGCTCGAAAGTATTGAAAGATTGACATATGCATATGTTTGCCTTCAACCCAGCGTCGAAAGTTATTTTATGTCCTTGCCAACGCCATGATAATTTGTTGATAGTAGAACCATATATAGCATAGGTCACTTTCAAGATGAATGATTCTGTAGACTCGGCCAATCATTTTAATTCTCAAATTGGATTCCCAAATTTTATAGCTTCTACATATTGATAAAATAATCATTAAAATAATAATATATATTATTATTTTTATTTTAATTATAATAAATTTTATTTATCAGAAAAACCGCGTTCCGAACCGGTTCCAACACGATGTACTACTTATAGAGCTGCTGTGGTGCTTCAATTCTATAGTGAATTGCAATTATTTGACGAATTGTGGAAAAACTGGTTCCAAAATTTTCGGAACCAAATTTTAATAACTAGAAGGGCTGTGGTTACATTGACATCTTTTGTTGGTGCTCGGGTTCCGAGTTCATATACTATATACAGTATATATCTAAACATATATACATTAAAATGTAAATATAGTGGGTAGGGTATAGAGGAGAAAGAAGATATAGAGACACAGTGTAGCGATTTTTTTGTGGAACTTGGGAACTCAGTCCCGCATTGTGTATAAGACTTACCATGATCATAATAGTTGATGTTACGGTAGAAGGTAGCGCAGGCGCATAATTGGTTTCGGGGTGCTCTCCGAGTTTCGTGATGGAGATGGTGTGTCTTGGAAGCAAATTGCGAAGTGAAGACTACGGAAAACAAAAGATAGTACAAACATTTCGTTGGCTTGGCCTGTTCGTGGAACAGTGGTTTTCTTCTGATTTGATAGATCTCTATGGTGCATGTATAAACAAAATCACTGTAACTGGCTTTGTCCTAGCAACAGGTGAATGGGGTTAAAGATATCAATTTAACTTTATACAGTAAACAATCATTAGGTTTCTAAAAACATCGTCTACGAGATCGAAAAGGGCGAGTCCTAAAAAGCTTGGATCAAATTGTGACCAGAAAAAAGTCTAGATTTATCCTGGACCTCTCCGCGGTCGCGTGCAAAAAAAGACCAGATTTCATTTGATGACAAGAAAAATTTGGAGAATATGCAGAACTAAGGAAAAACTCTGTTTCATTATGTCGGAGCATTACCTTCACAGCGATTATTCGCAGCAAAAAACTAATACCCAGTTCACTGACCAGTGTCTTGTAGTCTATCGCTAAGCTCGGAGGCGACAACGGTCAAAGGGATCTCACTCACTCCCGCAGCAGTCGACCGAAGCAGCCTCGAAAGTATTCGTTGCTGCGATCGTTCTTTCGAGGGTCATATCCAGGATTCGGCGTAGAGACACTCTGGCGTTTGATTCGGCACTGACTTGGACCACCCACAGTGCGATGACGAAAAACGCAGCCCTGATAAGGAACCTATCGCTCGAAGTTGAATGAGTCGGGCGTTATAAGTGTTTCTGTCATTTCGGGTAAAATGGAGAAATAAACGTCGAGAAGAAGAAGCCCTACAGAGACCACACTCTAAGTAAATCTATCCCAGAAAGCCAGGAATCAAATGCGATATTACGCATACTAAGGAGACCAAATATCCAGATAAATCCACGTTTTCGTATGTGTGGAGGGGAAGAATTTGTCACTCGTGTGGTTCAACACTTGTGTGGAGATCGACGCAAAAATTTATTACAATCGCACCACAGAACGGACTTCTTACCGACTTCTCCACTGGGGCGTTGGGTCCCAGAGTCAGAGGTTCGAATCACCACAGGAAACGTACGTGTACGACAACCACCACAAATATTATTTTCTTATCACCAGATCAATTGAAACGCATTGTGTATAAAACCTACCATGATCATAATAGTTGATGTTACGTCAGGTGACACCTGACGTAACATGGACCGGTTCAATTCAGGTTTCAGAACTTTACGCACAACTGAATTCTCTGGATTTTATATCCAGAGTCCTATGCGGGATCCGAGCAACGTACCCAAAGCGCCCATTAATATATCCCCTTTGAATCGGATCAGGTACAAGTTGAATTTGCATTTTAAAAAACTCTTTGCTAATATATCCTTTAAATAATTATGAAATTTATGTGTGTTGACCCATCCAGGTCTAGGGTTCGTTCAAGCAACACTTACTACAGATAGTACTTCGAAGTACTGTAGATACTAAAAAAAAATAATCTGCTTTCGGGCTCATTCGAGCAACATGCAATAAAAGTTACATTGTGGAAAACCGCGTGATATCTTGTTGAGAATTTGAAGCTCTTCCAGCGAAATGTCAATCCTTTTTTCGAGTTTTATCGTGAAAAGATCGCCAAATTCTCTCTGCGGCGATAAATGTCTTCATTTTGCATTGTGATAGCCCAAGCATTAGTTTTAGCAACGGACGTAATGAGCTACATATTGCTTCGACAGCAACAAATAATCAACCAACTAGCTTGGTGGATAGTTCTCGAGCAGAAAGAGTGCGAGCAAATACATATTAACTGTGGTTTACTTCACCTTCCTACGTCGATGTATCCATTCTTATAAACTCCAAAAAGCGCCAATAAAATCCAGAGCTTCTCCGGGCGCCAGCACGGCTTTGTTATGATAACTAGAATCACTCTGGTGATCTCTCATTCAGAGTGACAAGTTCCGAGGTTCCGAAGAATTCACATTAGGATTGCGTAACATTCCCCGATCTCTCTATAAGCGTAAGCTACTGGACGGACGTAATGGATTAGGTTACATTGTCCGCTCAACCTGTGCATAACATGGCATCTAGAGTACTCTTAGACCCCCTTAGAGACCACGTTAATGTACTACATGGTATAATACCCTATATCTCATGCATACCATCTGCCCACGTCACTCGTTCATCTCATCATGTACGTTCCATGTCGAGACAAGCCAGTTATCTGGAAACAGAGCTGTAAGCAATTGGACCAGTTCGCTCCGTCAGAGTAAAGGGGTGGCCGTCAAGGACAATGTCTGCAAGGACAGACACAGGGATAAAGTTCGGACGAAAATGAAAATGGGCAGGAAGAGCCCGGAGAGTGAGGAACACCGCCTGCGGTACCGTCTTCGCAGACGTATGCGCTTTACTTTGCAATATTTTTACAATTACCTCTGAACATCACTCACACTGCAAGTGCAATGAATACAAATTTCGGCCAATAGATGAATGCATAACAATATACTTGAATTCAGTGTATTAGACCGCATCTTTGTTGCCAATGCCGGAGAGCTAGCTAGCATATCATTGGACAATTTGCGCGATGGCGACGAAGCGTCCTCGGTTGGACGCAGAAGACGACCCAGGACCAAACTCGCAAGTGAAAAACTCGAAGATATCTTATTGGAGCTCTAACAGAGACAAAGCGACGACGTCAAGATGTGGCTGCACGACGTGCAGCAAACGCTGACAAAGACGTAAGTGTTGTCAAGATTTCGCTCAAGTCGTTCTGCACCGAGCAATCCAAGGCGTTGCCGTGGGAGGAGATGCTAAAAGACATGAACAAGATGGTCTTAGAGGCGTATGTGCTTGCGAACACGCACATCGTCCGACTTTGTCATCTCCGACTCCCCGTTGAACCGCTGACGCAAAACTTCTTTCACCAATGCCTGTCGACCGTTCCAAGCGGACGACTGCTCGGCAATGAACACTTTAGAGCCTCTGCACAACTTGTGGCATGCTGCAGGAGTTCCACGCGCAAGCAATCGACACATTGTTCGAGGATGGCAACACAACGCAGCGCTACGAATGAAGACGAACTCCGAGAACGCTGTCACGCTCAATTTCTACCGACGGCTTCTCAAGCAAATCAAGCGTTCGTATTACATCGACAAAAGTGAAGCGTACTTGATGTTGAAGAGCATTCTGGATCCCGTGTACGATGACGACGACGTTGAGGTACTGGCGTGGAGTGCGCGTATCCCACGCAAGAGCAACGGCTACATCGACGACAAACCGCATCTGCTTCTTCCACTGACGTTCATATTTCTGTCGGATATCGAAGAGTGGAATCATCGAAATCGAGAAATCTGGGGATATGAAGATTTTCGTCATTTCAGTCTTCTTCCAACCAAGAAGGGCTCGAGTGCAGTCATTTCACGATGTGTAATCTCGGACTTCCTGCATTGTTGAAGCGCGCTGACATTGCTGTGCCAAATGAAGACGTTTGGATTGCGGAGGCAGACTCTTGGTGACGGAAGCTCTTCAAGATCGAGAAGTTCGAAACTGTCAACCGCAAGTTTTCTGGTGTGATTGAGACGGACGGCAAGGCTGTGGGCATCGTTATGCGCAAGCCGAAGCGAGAGATCGTTGAAACCGCGCTTGACGAGAAGGACTACGATGTGTTGTGGGGTCTTGATCCCGGTCGACGTGATCTGTTTGTGGCGACGAACCAATTCCGTGAAAAGATCTTCTGCACGACTCGAAAGTTTTATGAAGACGCTCACTACAAGAAGAGCAACCAGGAAACGAAGGTCTGGCAAGAGAAACGTTTTCGAAGCTGTGCGCAACATGCCGACAAAGAAGACTGCCTCGCTCGAACAACTTGAAGCTTCTGTGAAGTTCATGACTCCTCGTATGGACTTACAGTTGGAGTTTCGCATGCACAAGCCTTTGTCAGAGGTTGACTGCTCAAGCGGGAAGGCGAACGATTGTTGGCTTCGGTGACTGGAGCAACACCGACGTGAGCGGCAAATCAAGAAGTGTCCGGCGGGTCCAGTTAACCCATTCCGACGAGAGCTGAAGAATCACTGTCGCGTAGAATCGATTGACGAGTTTCGAACAAGCAAGCTTCACTCGGTGTGTCATCGCGAAATGAAGAATCAGTACAGCAAGCGTCTATGCAAGAAGGATGGCGTCGAGCGTACGTTGAAGGTCCACAGTGTACTCCATTGCACCAACAATGGCTGTCACGGTATGACTGTGAATCGAGACGAGAACGCTTCGAAGAACATGCTGATGCTTCTGATCGAGTGCAAGCTTCGTAGTCAACCGAGATCACTCGCGTTTTCAAGACCGAGAATGTGAAAACAACGGCAAGTGTCCACGGGTGCCTCGATGCAGCAATGTGTCGAGGAGGCTCGTAGCAATCTCTCTAGCGCAGCCTGCTCAGGCATTATTATCGTGTTTGCTCTATAGAGTACGTAGGCGCCAGACAAGCAATTCGAAACACAGCTCTATGCATAAATTGTTATCACATGACTGAAAATAGTCATCAATGAGTTGTGACGTGAAAAAAAAAAAATCAACGTCCTCGACTTTTCCGAAACATCTCAAGTGCCCCGTCGATGGATTACACGTACAGTACTATACTGCACTACTTCTTTTGGTGGTTGATAAAGCTTAAGGCTAACAGCCCCAGCATCCGGTACACCGCAATAAAACCCAAGAAGAAGCCGAAATTTTCCCAGATCTCGCCGTGCTTCATCAGGAAGACGTCCCCAAGGTAGTCCTTCACTTTCATGTTCTCTGGAAGCGAAGGTGGCAACCCAGTCATGACATGACATCCAACTTCTGAACCGTCCCCGTCACTAGGGCAGTCTCCAAACACCAGAGATGCGACCAAAGCCAGCGAGTACTTGTGTGGTGTAATGTAGTAGAGCCACTTGTACCCTTGATGGCCTGTTCGTGGAACAGTGGTTTTCTTCTGATTTGATAGATCTCTATGGTGCATGTATAAACAAAATCACTGTAACTGGCTTTGTCCTAGCAA